CAAAGAAAAAGCAACGAGGGAAAAAAAAACGCAACAACACCATCCTCAGCTGAAACACAAAACAAAACCTCAATGAATCTCACACACACACATAGAAAAAAGCCGCTAAACAAAAACAAAAACAAAAATAATAATAAAATCCAAAACAGGCATTTAAAGTCCCTTACCACCATTCTTTCCCCCGCATCCAAAGCCTTCTCATTCCCTAACGCTCCTCTTCCACTGCATGCAGATACACGCACACACCTACAATCTTTCCTGGACTTCGCACTGCGCCAAAAACAACCAAAATAACCCCGTTTGGCTGCGTTGCCCGCCTTCTCCGAACAGGCGGGAAGCGAGGACATCCGACGAGCACAAAAAACACCAACCGCAGAGACTTCTAGAGCAACAGTCACACAAAAGAAAAAGGCATCATGAAGGAAAATAATGAAAAAAGGAAAAAAAAAGAGATAACTTGGCACCCCTGCAGACAAATGTAAACTGAAAACGAGTAGGGGGCTTGAAATGAGACATGGCACTGCGGACGTCGATGGTGACTGGAATGCGGAAAGACGCCTCCAACACTTTAAAAAAACAACGGGAAGGGAACTCACTACTAATCCTCTCACCATGTTGTTGTTTGTTGTTTTTTTCTTTACCGTCCTTTGCCCAAGTCTCTTTCCCTCTCTCTCTCTCTCTCTCGGTGCCACGTGACCACACAACCCACACACAGTCACGTATTCTCCTCCTCTTGCCTCACTGATTATTCATCCCTCTCTCTCTTTCCGTCTGCAACTCCCTTTCAGAGGCATACACGACTGTGGAAGGGTCTTCCTTTCCTTTAGTATTTTTTCACTGTCCATTCCTCACCCCTCACCCGCGCACAACTCCACCTTTTTCTCTACTCGAGCTTCTTCTGGGGCAACCTGTTTCTTAACTCTGCAATTACGTTGTGGCTTTGTTGTCCAGGCGGACACTCATCGCCCTGTTGGCCATCTCAATGCCGTCAAATTCCTCTATAGCCAGGCGAGTCTCCTTTTCCGTCCTCATCACGACAATGCCCATTCCTCTGCTCTTTCCATTCCGCCCCATGATGACCTCCGCCCGCTCCACGTTGCCAACTTGCTGAAATGTCTCTCGCAGCGCACTGCTTGTACAGTCAAACGGTAAATTTGAAACAAACAGCTTTCGTCCAAATTCATTCACCTGCTGACTGCGCGGCTTGGGAACTACTTCATTCATATCGTTCATGTTCGTCGCAGCGGCATCCTCCTCCATCGTGTAGCCACCACGACCCATGTACTCCGTACCACGACCAAAGTTGTTTGCACTGTTGTAGTTCGAACCTCCAGCAGCTGCGCTGGTGTAGCCACGCAATCGTGTCGCCTGTTGTTGCTGCTGCTGCTGCTGTTGCTGCTGCTGTTGGGCCTGACGGTCGTACTGAGGCATCATGCCACGCTGCACAATCGGTGGACGGGGGCCGTCATCAAAGAGACGAACAATGAGTCGGCGTCCCTCAAAGTCAGTTTCGTTGTACATGCGAATTGCTCGCTGTGCCCCCTCTGCAGTAACCATCGTCACCAACGCGGACCCCTTCGGTCGACCCATGCGGTCCGCAATGAGGTCAGTGTAGCGCACCTTCCCAGCCTTCCTGAAGTGGTCCTTCACATGCTGCCACGGCGTCTGAAAGGGAAGATTGCCGACGAATAGTACATTCCCCTGATTCTGTCGCAGATCAGCATCCCCGCCTTCCTGTGGCCCACCCGATGTGGAGGAATGCTCGTCCATAATGTATTAATTTCCTGTTGCTGCCTTTACCAAGGCACGTTGTTCTCTTCGTCCGGGGTACTGCACGTTCTCCTCCACCTTTAGTTTCCCCCTTTTATTTCGCTTCTACAGATGTATGTATCCTCCCTCAAGCCCTTTCTAGTGAGGCAAAAAAAAAAAATAATAATGATGTATTTTTATCCCCCTTTTGTTTGCCTCTGATGTCACTGATTTCCGTTTGTTGTTGTTTTTGTTTGTTTGCGCTTAACTGCAGCTTGTTTATACTGTTTCCCCTATTTTCTTGATATATATATCTATA